GGCGTGTGGCAACGTACCGGAACGCCCGCCGGGTGCGCCTCATGTCAATGCCAGGCACGTGGAATGGGGAGGCACGAGAGGAAGTCCACCTGCACGGCACGCACCCCGGCGACCGGACGGCCAGCAGCTCCGGCCCGGACCACACACAAACAAGGGCATCGCCCCGGGCCGCGGCCATGGCCGATGCCAGGGTCGAGTCTTCGATGCCGGACGGAGCGATCCCCTCCAGCTCGGAGCCCGGGTCGGACAGGTCCACATGGACATCGCGCTCGCGATTGGCCGCGATCCACTCCCGCACACTGGGAGGCTGGCAGCCCGGGGCCGAGGGGTCGCCGCAGGCGCGCGACGCCCGGCTCGGCGGCAGGTCAAAGTGCACCGGGGGCAGGTGATCCAGCGCGCAGCGTAGCCGGTCAAGGAAGTGCCCATCCCCATCCCCGGGGCCAAAGCGAGCAATCACAGCCCGCCGGGCATGCAGCAACTCACGGTGCATGCGCGATCGCGCGGTGGCCCGGGCTCGATACGCCGCCTTGGCCTGATCGTCCAGCAGATCCGAGCCGTCAGGCAGGGAAAAGCGGATGTCCATCTGTGGCCTGGGCGGGGAGGGCGGCGGCGAGGCGCTCTCCGCCGAGGAGGCCAGCGAGGAGAAGCCGGCAAGGGGAGCCAGGGAGGCAAGGCGTCCCGCTGGGTGGGTCCGCCTCAGTGACATGAGTAGTGGACGCATGAGACTTCAGGGGGTCGGGGCGAAGGGGGGCGTGGCAGCGGCTGGAGAATGAAAAGAAGAGGGGGAGGGGGGAGGGGCGAAGGGGGAGGGGCGAAGGGGGAGGGGCGAAGGGGGAGGGGGAAGGGGACGAAAGAGAGGGAGAGAGAAAGAAGAAAGACAGAAGGGCTGGGAAGGCCAACAAGGGCAGGGGCAAAAAGGAAGCCAAGGGAGGAGATCCCGCTCGGGGTGACGATTTCCGAACGTGGGACCAACAGGCAGCCGGCGCTCATGCTGATGGACCCGCAGAAAGGTCTTGATCGTTGGGGCTACCGGGTCTTGGCATCCCAGTCCCCCCCCCCCCCCCCCCCCACGCCCCCCGAAACCCGGCCTTGCCCCAAGCGCCCCCCCGCCCGGGGCCTGCCCCCCACTGGGGGCCGGGGGGGGGGGGGGGGGGGGGGGGGGGGGGGGGGGGGGTGGGGGGGGGGGGGGGGGGGGGGGGGTGGCGGGGGGGGGGGGGGCAGAGGCCGCGGACTATCTGTCTTCTGGTTGCTGTCCCTCTCCCGACTCCCGGCCCCCGCCCCGATCGGAGGCACTGGTTCTGCAATTCAAGCCCCAAACTCCAGATAAGGAATGAACAGGCACGGGTGGCCACATGTATTTGGTGGACACCATGCAAGATCTCCAGGGGGAAGGGGGGGGGAACGAACCCCCCCCCCCCCCCCCCCCCACACACAAAAACCACCCAGGAAGAGCAGGGCCAACATCGGGGCCTGCCTCTTTTTCTTCCCCTTCCTGGAGGCGGGCTACAGATGCCGGGACAGCAGGTCAACCTCCACATCCAGGCCGTCGTCCTGGTCCTCCGACGCCTGGCCAGCGAGCTGCTCCTGCAGGTAGTGGTCAA